TAGAGTCGTGGCTACTTTAGATCTTTAGAACTATATGTTTTCATTGCTAATGACTGAAGCATCTGAAGCTATAGCTACCTGCAACTTAATCCATTATTGGGTTCCAATGCTTATTAATCTTGCGATGAATCCAGAATCTATACCTACCCAGGCTCTCCTTGTCAATGCTAGGTACAATATTATAATATTTAATAATAATTATGATTCTAAAGTTTTAAAATAGAAGTTTGAAAGGTTAATAAGATATTTTGCCTCAGACATCTTTTTTCAAACCTCCTAATTTCTTTCTCAAAAGGGGAAGAATAATATTTTGTAAATATTAATAGCATCCTGTAGAATAATTCTGTTTTTGGAAGTTTTTAAAAATTTGCTGTTTTTGACATGAGGGATGGAAGTGAAGGAGTAGAGTCTATCTATCTATCTATTTATTCGTAGCAAACTTAATGAATTGAAGACAAAATTCGTTTCTCTTAAAATAAAGAAACAAAATTTATTACTATTCTTGAGCTTTTTTATCCGAAACCCAAATATCTAGGAGTAAAATGATAGCAGTTCAAATTAATATAAATTTTCGATTAATCCAAAAAGATAAACAAATATTTCATGCCGTAATCATTGAAGAGTTACGATTGTCTGCTTTCAACTTTGATTTTTTATGGTGATTTTATAAAAACGAACTGACTAAAGTTCTTCTATTTTCAAAATATTATTACTAGGCAAAAAATCTAAAAATCTGTGTTTATGAGCAAAATAAAACTTTCGGACAGATTAGAAATGGATGAACAGCTGAATTCGTACTAATAAAAATTTTATGGATTCCGATAAAGTTAGCTGGAATTTATATCACATTTGGTCTCCAAAGTATTATTGCCCAAAAAAGATGTATTTTAAAGCATTGCAATTTTCGTAATTAATTTAATAGCTGAATTGCCTTGAAGTGTTTTATGGCTTCTATGGCGCGCTCTTTTCAGTTTTAGTAATTCTTTCTAAACAACTTTATCACATAAAAAAATAAAAATTTTCCGGACCAATTCTTCATTTTCACAACGTGAAATAAGCATCGCCCGAAGTATGAGCCAGAAAGTAATTGCAAGCAAATTTCCTCATTGCCGGCATCAAGAAGAACGCGTCTTAATAGTCGTCATATGAGATCAAGCATAACGATTGTCAGGGTACTGCAATGTCTTGTGTGTGCTGTGCGTGAATTCTAATGACAAAAAAGCTCCATCCGAAGAAAGAATACAGCAACGACTGATGAGCACTTGTCAAAGGCACTTAAAGTGAAAGAAGAAAAAATATTTTGTGGTAGCAAGAATTCTCTCAAATAATTTCCATAATTACAGCTCGAAACTAAGACTGTAGGTCAGTAGGATCAATTGTTGTGTAAAAATATTAATTTTGGAAAAATTTAGTACAAAAGTTTCTTTTCTTTTGTTCTGACTGGGGTACTTAAAATTAAAGTCTTAAGGATATTAAAATTTACAAGACTTGTAGGATATCTCGTATTAAAAAAGAATTCGAAGAACATGAATATGAAACTTGTTTACGGATACATTTTTGATTTACGCGGAGTGCTTCTTTTGAGAAGAAGATTCATATAGCGTATCGCCTTTATTTTGTCAACATACGGTTCTCATAATTGCATCCAACCTACTTTTGTCATATGAAAACATTTTGCTAAGACTGTATCATCTTAATTGTTACAATTTTCTCATGTGCAGTCTCACGTTATCGCCAAGTTGGCACTTGGATTGACCATAACTGATGTGAAGGAAATTTAAGCCGTTCTTCATCATTTGGCCTTATGTAAACGTACGTGCTTTGAGTTCTTAATGAAAAGAATTCTTAATCTTATGCAGCATAAATATGACAACGAAAACTGGAACAAATAGTAACAAATGGTGTTGTTTTGCCTCCGGAACTTGTTCTTGCAGCCATCGTAGGTTAAGGAAAAACTGTGCTTAAGCAACATTTACGGATGACATCTTATTATATGAAGTGTTGTTTGTTTTAAGGATTACATTGGAACAAAATCTAAATTTGTAAGCATAAAAGTGTCACAGATACGAGTTATAGAACAAGATTAGACATAAATTCCATGCAGCAGGAAATCAGTTAAGAAGAAGAACATAGCGTGGATGCTTCCAATTTGTTAAGAATTGAAGCAATTAAATGAAATTAATTTGCAACAGGTTTCCATCTAATTAATATTCTCTTTCCTAATATTGTAAAGTTCTAAATGAAAATTTTAATTATTTGATGATAAAAAAAGTATACAAATTTTTTTGGTACGTCACAATTTATAACTAAAATTTTTTTTATTGAAAATCAATTTTAGTCAAGTATATATTGGCCATTATTATATATGAGCTCTTGTCATTTATCGAATAGTTTGTTAAATACATCGATGTAGAACTGCTGTGGTTTATCGATGAAAAACTTGGCCAAGTTAAGGTTGAAGTTTTATAGTTTATCGACGAAAACCTTGGCCAAGTAGTTTTCAGAAGCTTCTCGTTTGGCCTAGTACTCTATTATCGAGACAGGTTTGGTCATGTTTTTTAGCGGTTCTTCCCTCAGCGAATTCTTTATCATGACAAAAGTTTTGCAGAGTTCGAAACAAATCGTAGTCAAACGGTACAAGATCTTTGGTCGTCTACAAGTTGACAAAGACCACCACATTCCATGGAATAATATGCTGTCTTATATTTATGATTTATGACGGTATGGATAATACGGCTTCGCTGACTTGAGAATGGATGAAGACACTCTAGCGAAAAAGATGTTTGAAGTAGTGGTTAGAAGGAAGAAGGCATAGAGGTAGACCATGTCTCAGGGTGACTGATTAAGTTGATGGAGCTCTAATCGGACCTAATGTACAGGACTGGAGAGTGCGCGTAAACAGTACAGGCGCCTGAACAGGTTGTTAACATATGATCAAATAAATAATAATAATAGACTATTCCACTCAATATACACTCAGTATAGCCTTGTTTGCAATCAATTCAAAGTTTGGAGTCTTTTGTGCAGGGCCATCGACTTATGGCCATGATTGTTTGCGTTGGATATTCTAGTATTTGTTTTTTTTTCGCCAATAATAATTAAATTCGAAAATGGTTTCGTTGTATTTTAGTAGTGCTTCCCTGATGGTAATTCGGTCAAACAAATTGCTTTGGCTGAATTCTTGTGGTATCTAATCATCGTCTTTGCTGAGTACAATATTTTTAAATGGTACCAAATTTTCAAGTAATTGATTTAAAGACCCCGTTATCTTCTGACAGCTAACGTAACAGGTTCGCTTCATCAGTTCCAAGATTCAATCAACTTTTTTAGTGAGTGTTTCAGTGAGCGAGTTGGTTTTTAGACATTGAAATTTCCGGAACGGAAACTTACAAACAATGTAAGAATGGCTGGGACATCTGGACGATGGCAAAAACATGTTTCGGATCAAAATATTTTTATTCTTAGATTTTTAGGTTTAAATTACATAGTGTGAATATATTGAAAAATTTAGCAAGAAAACTGTAAACAAATTGGGGCAATCATATTTACTTATCACTTTAACTTTATCTGGTAATTATTTGTCCAATTTCAACAAAATTTGAAACGCTATCATAGTCATAAACGTATACCCTCAAATTATCTTTTCTACTCTCAATCACTCCAAGATATAACTATTTATTGTTCTCGGACAACAGCGTTTATTTTTTTATAAATTCAAATTATGTGATAAAGCAATATTGGTTTTCTCCGAAAACTCCACAAATTTTTTAAACCTAGGATGAATATAATTGTATTTTAAAAAAAATTTTTATTCAAAAATGTGAAACAATTAATTTTTCAAAAAAAAAAAATAAAAAATTACCAAAAAACTTTCCCATACCGGGAATCGAACCCGGGCCTTCTGGGTGAAAGCCAGATATCCTAGCCACTAGACCATATGGGATGTATTAGTGGAGTGTCACAGTACGAATATAAAATATTATTGTAGCGCTATCTATCGAGAAATTATTTTAAAAATAATCACATTTTACCGCATGTTTAAGAAATTATGTGTACAGTACAAATAAAATTAAAATTCAATCAAGAATTTAATAATATTAAAAGTTTTCTACTAAAAATTAATTTTTTATATTATATATAATATAATATATATGTAATTAACGATTTATATAATTTATAAAAAGTTACTTTATTATTATTTTTTTTTTAAATAATAAAAAAACATTTATACAATTTAAATATAAATTATGTGTTAATATTTCAATAATAAATATTGTACATCTTATATATGTGTATATTATTATTTTTGAGATTATTTTTTATTTTATATGAAACAATGGAGCATTTATTAATTGAAAAAATAATTGCTCCCATTGATTGGTATATACAAAAGAGATAGAAAATATTTAAGTAGACTTAATCATAGTGTAAACACATTTTTAAATACTTTTAAGTAGTATTGCAAACAGTATTAAGAATAAAAAATGTAATACATTCAAGTCATACCTCTAGAACAAAATGAGTGATAGTTGCAATAGTTGTAGAAACACCGTCTGTTGCAATAATTCGTAATAGATCGAACACAAGCAGATGAAATATTGTCGGTATTAGAAAAACTATCTGTGTGGAGGGGTTAAAATAGTAGATGAAAAAAGAAACAAGTCTTGAGTTGCATTTTGCAGAGCAGATTTTAAGCTCATTCTAGCTTACTTTATACTTATATAACCTGAATTTGTGGTAGAGAGAGAGAGAGAGAGAGAGAGAGAGAGAGAGTTGTCAGTTACAATTTAATATTTCCTTATTCAAATAGCATCGAAAGCAATAGTTGATAACAGCGATTCTCCAAGTAGAGTTTTAGATTTAAATTATCAATGCTTCCTTGAACCGCTATACTCGGATATAACAAATTTAGTAAAAATTTCTAGTGACGTTCTTTACTTACATTTTGTTAAATAAAATTTATTTTTTTAAAAATATATAAAAATTATTAATAAAAATTTTATCATCTTGAAAATTCCACTAAAATTGTTTGAAAATCCTTCTCAGTTACGAAGTAACTGACAATAGACAATTCGGTTTTATGTTTCTCCATAAGTTTGAAGGTTTTCCATAGTTTATTTCTACGTGGTATAAAAAACTTGAACCGTGGGAAACATATTAATCTAATATTTAGAATTACATTTTATATTACAAATATTATTATTTATTTTTTAAAAATTATATTAAAAATACACTTACATTAATTTTGGATTTTGAAATCTTGACTGCATAAAATCATTTAATTCCACTTTCTTAATACTCTCTTCACTACTTATAATTGAAACGTCAGATCTGGAGCAAAAAAATTACAAGTTAACATAATAGACTAGTAGAGGGATAGAAAATAACCAGTTTTAGTCAGTGAAATCAGTCTTATGTATCCAGCTATCGTAATCTATTACTACGGTATAAAATTATTTCAATTAGTTCAGTCAGAGAGACAGTCATGAACATTCATATGACTGTGATTATAGGACGTGTGCGAGTTAGGCTAAGTTGATGCTAAACCAAATGGGAGATTTTTTGGGATTTTTTGCACTGCACACATTTAGCTATTTATTAACACGTATCGACACATCACTACATTATCGGCAGAACTTAGAATTTCTCTCATTTAGAACGCAACTTAGCCTAACTCGCACACGTCCTAAACCGAAACTAAGTCTAACAGTGGTAATATCTTAGTAATATACAAATATATTACAAATGTATATGCTATAGACTTACGAGCGATCATTATTAATAATAATTTCAAGAATATATCCATCTTCACTCCTTTCTAGTAATTCTTCCTTGGTCCCAATGAACTTCATTTCACCACCAGATAAGATGGCAAATCGTGTGCAGCACATATTACAATCTGTCATACTATTAGTTGTCAACAATATAGTCATACCAGTCGATCGCATTATATTGATAAGTCTCCATAACATGATTGTTGTTGGAGGATCTGTGTTGCTTATAGGATTATCCATTAATACTATAGACTTTCTTCTAATGCAACCTACCGCCATACGTAACATGTATTTATTCATTGTAGTGTAGTGTTTCACTTTCGTCGATGCAACATCAGTTAAATAAAATGAACCCAGTAGTATTTCACAAACATCATTTATATTTTCAATACCATTTATTAGGAAATGCAATTTCAAGTTTTGATAACCTGTGAACTCTTCAAACAATGCATTCTTTCGTGCCAGATAATCAATGTCAGAATAAATTTCTTTTATAAAAAACGCATTCATATTTTTATTGTTGATACGTACAACGCCAACTGTAGGTGGGGTTACACCTGCAATAACATTTAATAAAGCGTTTTTTCCAGACCCATATAAACCGACAACACCGAAAGATTCTTCTCTAAGAGCAAAAGCGAAGCATTTTTAATTGAAAAGATCAATGACTAAAAACTTCGGAAAAAATACTTACTTTTCGATCGCAAATGTCACGTCGTTCACAACAAATTTTTGATCTTGCTCCACTTTAGTTACGTGATTAACAACGATTGTCTGCTGCTGCATATCCGCATCAGTCATATTGTCCACTCGTGTAATTTCATCCTCAACTGATTCATCAGGTGCTACCTTATTTATGTTGTATTCACTTCCAAATAGTTTGTTATTGCTTATTCATTTAGGTAAGTGGTTGCCACTTATACTCACCTGTGCACGTCTCGTACCCAGTGCAGTACTTCGTTCATAAACCCACTGTCCGTGAGCACAACCCAATTGAAGAAAAATACTCCGAAAAACAGCATGAAGGCCAATTCATCTAACCTTCCTGATGTTCCCCAACTATATTTTGAATCTGTAGAATTCAATAATTATGAAGATATTTAAAAATATGATCAGATAAAGTATTAGATCTTACAACAACAATTTGTAGTTCCATTGCAATTTTCTATAGTTATATTTGTGCAAGCTTCTTGCACTTTTTTATGAACGTGATAATCTTCTATCGCAGATAGCACTGCATAAAATGGAACTATACTGAGGATGAAAGACAAATGGTTTCGAAAAGTAGTAAAGTACATATCCAAAATACCTAATATTACAAAACATATTAATACTCGTAATAATATATAAGGATCATTTATTAAAATTTTATTTGATCAGTTATAAGTAAAAGATGGTTGGACTGCCTAAAATGTTTAGAATAATAAGGATTATATATAGTATTTCAAATACTGGTGAAATTAGTTGTTTTTATATCGTAGGCACGAATCTGTTGTATCTGTAAGATCTGTGAAATGTGAGTTTCATAGCCGCGCTAACATCATGTTTCCATCTGTTTCATTTAGGCAGTTTTGCTCATTAAAGCCACTAATGGGAATAATTTATAGCACATTCACATTGTCATATTTAAGCACTTGCTCATTTATATAAATGAGTGGACGACAGAACATTTATTAACTTTTATAAACTTCACTTCATAATATATCACACACAAAAATTAAATACTTAATATATATATTAAATCATTTATATACATTTTATATATTAATTATATATTAAATTAATAAAAACTAAGATTTTATTAAATACTTACTTGTTCAGTGCCTTTGTTTCTACCTCAGGTGTTGTTTGTTTACGTTTTACATAAAAAACATATGACACATAATTCAAATTTTGGTAATTTCCCATAAGGGAAATTTATTTTTAAGGGTTGCTTTCGACATTTTTCGCCTTAATGAGCTGATATATTGATGATGAGCTCATTTATATGAAACCTCTTTGTATTGTAAATCATACTATAATTAGCAAAACTGCCTAAATGAGACAGTGTGAATACGCTGTAATATAAGTACTTTTAACTGCAGTGGATATATAATATACGCTCTAAAATTTAAAAACAAATCAGCTGATAATCATATGATCAGAATTGGAAACCTTAAATCTGGTTCAATGGTGTTTAAGATATGTTTCAAAATTTCTGTAACTCCATTCTACAACTTATCTATATTATATTTAGCGGAAGAAGATCTCATTTAACGATGTTTTCATAGATCGATAGAGATCGATATCGCTCATATGATGGGTTTAACATCTGTAACATTTTTAAGTTGTAACATCAAGGATCTTATATTTTTTTTCGATGGGTTCTAAAATTCTACTTTTCAATTTGTTAGTCAACTTGACCTTTCTATCTAAATCAGGTTAACGAGTATTGTCTTAGGGTACATCAAAGCCTACTTGATATTTAATAATGTACTATGTCTTTTATTATAAATATATGTTAAAATATATTCCAGCACTTGTATTGAAGTTCTAAAGTCTTCTATATGTTTTTACAATAAAATTTCAATAATCTATTAAAAAAAACTGAACTTACCCATAATAAATGCAGCAATTATTAAAGCAGGTACCATGTGTTGTTCTTGGATATGAAAGGTACAAAAATATAAAAATGGCAACATATATATTGCAACGCATATTATAATAACAAACAAATCAGCTGTAGGAGAGTTTATTTAGGCTTTAGTAAACCTCATCAGTTAGTGTTAGTAAAGATATTTACCCATATCTGAAAAGTAATCACTTTTTGTGGAGAAGATGCAAATAACAACAGCAACCACGACGATAGGTATAAATAAGAAGAAAATCAGTTGCCATATAAGATGTGACACCCAGTAAATCCAAAAATGTAGTCCATTTATGAATTGTATTAACTTGGCATATGTAGTTCTTTCATATGTCACGAAAGATACACTCGATATACTTATAAGACAAACAAAAACCATTACAATCAGCACCAATATTGGTTGCGAGACACGAGTCTTATAATACTGTACTAAAGATTCGATCTCATATTTTTGTGGAGAATTTGTAACAATGATTTCCTTATTTGAACCACCAGCTTCTCTGAAACTCCGCTATATAGAAAATGGAATCAGAAAAATGACATGGAAG